ATATATATATATATATATATATATATATACGTTTCTGGAATATGATTCTGAAAGGTCTGTCCATCATATACGCCATCTATAATTAAATTAATAACATAATATATAGATAATAGAAATGTTTGTCCCGTTATAAACGGTATTCATTTCGGTTGTAAAAGATTTTATTTACGGTTACGGGGTGTTTCAATTATGAAACTTAAGTTGCGTTAAGCGGAATAGGTGGTTGTATAACGTAATAATAGAAATAGCCTTCAATTATAAACTAAACTAATTTACATATTTACGTGTATAAAAATATATCCTTATATAATTAATTATCGTTAAATAATTCAAAGCGAATACGACATGACATGCATAAACGTATGCATAACAATAAATGTTATCAACGAAACAAGATTTTGAACACGCTAAACGCTTCGAATATCAGAATAGCTTAGGGAATATCGGAGATTCGGTGTACGATCACCCCCTCTCGTAGCTACTTCGGCAAAGCATCACGCACAAACGGGCTCGTAACGATCAATTATCGCGCATAACGCTAGACTGGGAATCATTACAAAGCGACACCAGATTTTACTATACGTAAACAACGTCTTGGAAAGGGGAGGGAGCGATTCTCCGCGTTAGTCAGGCCGCAGATCTGATTTTCCACGTTGGAGCGGGGGCGAATTATGCGGTTCGTGGCGCCGACACTAATCCTTGTCGAAACAACCCCCCTTCGTCACCGGAAGGGGGCCGAGTGGCGACGGATCGAGGGAGGGGGTGGCACGTAGAGACCGACGTAGACGCAATTAATGCAGAGAAACCAGCCACGGACGGTCGGGGGAGAGTTTCGAGGAGGGCATCGAAGCTACGCCAACCCGTGAGACGTAATGACTAATTGAGATTCGAAGAGAGAAGGGAATAATACGATCCGGCTGGTCACGGTAAAACGCACTTTTCTTCCTTTCTCCCCTATCCCCCCTCCTTTTCTCTTTTTATTTCTTCCTCTTTCCTTTTCCCCTTTTCTCTAGCCCTCTCGCTCCTATCCCCTGTGTCGATTACAAAGGATCTCTCGCCTGCAGGCACACCAATGGAATTACGGGGCTATACGCTCTCCCTCCTTCCACCATCGATTTTAATACGATCGATTTATCGGCCCGTTTTTAAGTATCTCGAGTAGATTTATCAAAATTTCTTCCGGTGAATATCGCTTTATATTATAGAAATTGGCAAGATTTGATTGATTCTTAGATTGAAACTGATCGTGTAACGAAATAAAAAATTGGATAACTGAGCACAGTTCAAGTGTATTCGATTCTCCGCGTTCTGAAAAATTGATCTTGGCAATAAGATGCACGTGTAGTTCAACTTTTAATCAATTTGCTTCTTAATAATAAAATACAAAAAGAAGGAAGAAAAGAAAGAAACGTGCTACTAGGAAAAGCAACAATTAAAATATTATCCACGAATCGAAAGAATAAATTACCTCGCCTATTATCCGTTCAATTCCGAATGAACAGTGACAACGATCACCCTCACCAACGTGAACTACACGAAAGTTCGTCTTAACCGACGAAGGCCAGTAACGCGTCGCCTCCAAGCGTTATTCATCAACGAGTAGACAATCCCGCCGCGTGTTGCGACGCGATTTGTCACGATATCGCGGGAACGGTTCACGGCATCGATATTGTCCCGCTCACAATCCGCATCCAAGAGCGAAACAACGATTCGCCCCCTTCCAAGCTCAGTGAGCAAGCCAGGCAAGCTTGGAAAGGTAGGAAGGAAGGAAGGAAGGAAGGAAGGAAGGCAAAAGGAAAAGGGAGTGATACACAACAGCGTGTTGTGGGAGGGCAAAAGCGAGGTTGGAGTAACCAAGCCAAGAGAGATTCCTCGCACGGAAGGCAGCCGTCGTTCCGAGAGTGTTTCACCATTCGTCGCCGCTGGTCTCGTCGACATTAAGATAATTACTTTCCAGCAGGACGTGCGGGGCCCATTGTCACCGTTACCGCGGCAGAATGGCATTATGCATTGTCGGCGAAGAAAGTGAGGGGGTGCGTGGATACGGATGGATGGATGGATGGATGGATGGATGGATGTGGAAGAGGAGGAGGTGCGAGGTGGTGGTGCAAAGAGGCAAAGGGTAGGGGGTGGGGTGGGCTTCGTGTACCTTAGCCCGTGGGTGGAGCATTATTCCGGTCGGTTCCGTGTTTCGCTATTGAAACTGGCGCG